ACCACACTGAGGGGTTTGGACTTGACATGAGCAGGGGAGTCTGTGAGCTGGCGGGGGACAGGACCACAGCGACACCGAGGCTGGCCGCGCGCTGATGACCTCCGGGAAGGGGAAGTTGTCAGCCATGTTCCCAGGGCGCCCTGTCCCCCGTGTTAGCTGGCCTGCCCAGCCTTCTGTCCTCCACTGCAGTGTGAGCACCTTGCAGGCACAGGTGTCCCATTCTGCGAGATATCCCCACGTGACAGCGTGGCACCTGTGTAGCCGAGCCGCTCCGCATACCTGCTCCATAGTGCACGTTGACAGGGCTGCCGGGTCCCAGGGGCCGTGCCGTTAACCACCTCTGCCCTCTGGACTCTGAGCTGCTTACAGACCCGCAGCCAGATCTTAACGTGCTTCCCACAGTCCCATTGATCCATCTGCTTGCCCTTTTTTAGATGGCCATGCTGCTGAAACTTCAGGAAGCTGCCAATTACATCGAGTCTCCAGATCGAGAAACCATCCTGGACCCCAACCTCCAGGCCACGCTCTGAGGGTCCAGGAGTCACCATCACCCTGGACGGCAGGATGCTGGCGCGGGCTCCGTCAGCTCCCCCTCTCCCTGCCCTCTTCAGAGACCGAGACCGAGACCGAGGGAGGCGGGTGAAGGAAGAGGGCCGGCTCCTGGTGCTGCACCCCCCTCGTCAGGAGCGGGGGGTGGCGTCCGCGAACTCGTGGCCCCTGGACACGTTGCTGGCCTCCTCTCCTGACTGCAGGGAAAAGTTGATGCTGGGTCTCCTTCCTTGACTTCTGGCCTCGATTACAGACTCCTGGGCTTGTGGGGGAGGGGGCAGGGGACATCACAAGAACCTGCCTCACAAGTCCCTCGCCGAGCCTCGCAAGCAGCACTGAGACGGCCGCCCGGCCGAGGGCGGGGGGAGCTGCTGGGTCCTCGCAGGCCCACTCCCTCCCGCCACTGTGGCCGCTCGCCCCCAGAGCTGGCTGGAGCCCAGGAAAACAAGCATGTGGTTTAAAGAATATTTGAACCAACCTGTAAAAGGTAAAAAAAACGGAAATGATGAAGCTGGAGAGGGGAACCAGGTGCCAAGGGAGACAGAGCACCACCCGCCCCGGATGACATTGAGGACGTCGACAAGACAGCTGCCCATCTAAGAAGTCGCCAGACCACAAGCTGACGTCGCAGCCTGCCGAGAAAGACTGCCCGCTCTGTCATGCCCTCTAATCTAACACGCACGGAGTCAATAAACCCTACTTCGTTATTTTTTATTTTTGTTTTTTGTTTCGTTGCTTCCCCCCCATCTGTGTATTTATTTTCCTTTTCTTTCTGTTTTTTACCCTCCACCTCCTCACACGTTCATGAGATGCTTGGGTTGCTTTTCCAGGGGCCAGTTTGGCTTTTCCAAGTAGGTTTTCTTTGGAGGATCTGACACCGTCCAGTTGGCACCAAGGCACCTGCCCTGCCACCGCCTTTGGCATCCTTGGGGCTCGCACGAGACACGGAGTGTCGGTTCAGAAGTGGTGGGGGCCAGGGCCTTGCCTTCCCTTTCGAGAAAGCACACGTCCTGCCTGGGGCTCGGCCCTCTGGCCTGAGTGCGTCACCCCGCTTGACAGATCTACGTTGAGCCTCACCAGGGACTAGAGAACGCTACAGACTTCCTGTCTCACAGCCTGTTTGGACCGGATCCTAAATTCTTAGCTGGCCTTTACTATTCGTCTGTGACAGGTAGATGTTCACACCTGTGTGAGATGGTCCCAATCAGAATATAAGGCTCGAGGAGTTTGACTTGGAGAAGAGACCTGACCTGCCTTCCAAAGGGACCCACCTCGGAAGTCACCCTGGAGGGGCGTCTGACCGTCCACACCGCTTCGTCCCACAGCTGTCACCATCACACTGAGCAGGAAGCGCTAACCCCAGTGACACCCCTCGCTGTCCAGACCTTCATGGTCATCTAAGAAGTGCAGCCAAAAAAGCAGCCAGCTAGCAAACGCCTCGGACTGGATGTCCCGTACACTGGGGACAAAGATTTGGGATTGGCGAAGGTGGACCTGGAGGACTGGGGCCCTGCTCATCTCACGTGGGGAGCCGTCTTCTCGCCACCCCTGGAAGCCCCGGGCCTAGGTGCGGGTTTGCGGGGCCGGCGCACTCTTCAGACCACCCCACCCCGGAGCAGCACAGACCCTCGTCACCCACACTCACCGACCGCTCAGCCCCGCCCACCCAGCCAGCCAGCGGCTGCATCCGAATCCCTGCGTCACCGTTCTCTCATTTTGGTCCCGATGATGGCCCAGGTCATCGCCCGAGGAGGCTGCTGCGTTCACCGGTGGCTCCCAGGCACGACAGGCTCCCCCGCGCCCAAGACCTCGCTCGTGCTATCGCTGCTCAGGCCTTGAGCTGCGAGGTCCCCAACCGAGGCAGCTGCAGCATGCAGCTCTGTGTTGGGAAGAGGCCGTCTGTCCTAGCATGGTGCTGACATCGCTGCCTTAAGGTCCCTGCCGTGCGGGGTGAGGAGGCCCCGGAGCTGGCTACTCTAACTTGGGAGGGGGGCGAAGGCCAGCCAGGCCTCCTCTGGACGCAGGCCTCTCCTTAGCCCTGTCCTTGGCCCCAGTCCCGTGCCAGGGCCCAGTCTCCCCTCGCCGTCTTCGCTGGGTCGTTGAGCCCCTAACTCTGTATTTTCTGGTGCTGCCCGGCCAGTGCCTTCTGTCGTGGATGTTACTGGCTACTTGACAAAAGGAAAGGGGGCAACCCCTTCTCCCATTCCAGCTGCCTCAGACCCTCAGAGACAAGGAGCCCTTGTGTCCCTGCACACCACGGGGGACTTTATTGGGACTTTATCTGGAAGCCTCTCATGTTCTGACTTCTCACCTCTATTCCTGGGACCCAGCCCCTCTGCTGCCGGCTGATTGCTGCATCTCGCCCAGGTCTCCAGATGCTTCTCTCCAGAAAGTGTGTTCCCATCTAGCGAGACGGAGTTGCAGCCTCAGCTGTCCCTCTGGAGCCAGGGACCCTGTTTACAGCTGCGCGCCTGGCCCCTCACCAGGGGCCATCATCTCACCGAGGAATCGTGGGCGCGTGGCAAGTGCAGAAGGCTGAGCCTCCCCATGGTGCTATCACCCCTCGGGACGCCCATCCAGGCTTCTCCGAAGCAGGAAACCTGAGCTCGCGGTCACTGCCCCGGACTTAATGGCAAGAGCAAACCCACAGCATCCCCTCCCGATGCACCTGCTTCTCGGGGGGGAGGGCCACTGGGACCTCTCAGCAAAAAGCGGGTCCCACAGCTAAACCCTCGACCCCAGGTGCCATCAGAGGAGCCCAGCCCATCTGAGATGGGTTCCTGCCCTCCCCTCCCCTGCGCGCCGACCCCACACCCCCAAAGCTGGCACAGGTGCCCAGCTCAGTCCCCACCACCGACCCCGGGAGAGCCGTGCCCAGGACAAGTCCTCGGCACAGTGCCTCTCGTTTCCGGGTGAAGACCAACACGTTGTGTCCAGTGAGTCTGTCCTGAGGCCTGCCTAGGCGCTAACAATAAAGTACTCGGTAATTGGAGGCCAACATGGGCCCTGATGTCTGTGTGTCTCTCTCTCGTAAGAGCACGTTGCTGTTGCTACCTCCTCTCTTCTGAGGCTTTGGAGGATATTTTTTCGATCTATGCTTGTGGCAGCTCTAGTGCTTCTCTCTGTCCCTGTGAGTCCTCATCCCAACGCCTTTTTCAGGTGGTCGGACCAGTGGGAAGCGAGGCCCGCAGGGAAGGACTTGCTGAACGGTCCTGTTGGTTGGCACGCTCTGGTCTCGACTTACTGACCTCCAGCTCACCGACCCACACTCCGTACGGACCACAGACAAACAGCGATTTGTTTGTGTCCTTTCTCACCTCCTGGTTTTCCTGGTTTGCAGGACTCCACGTGGACCTTTACCACCACCTCTTCCCTCCCAGCTCCCTGGGATGAGGGTCGCGGTACTGAGGGCCAGCCCCCTCTGCGGTCTCAGGGGGACCATCTCCTGTAGTATCCCAGGAGAGTCGGGCGGGCACAGGGGCGGCCTGCTCTTCCTCAGACCCCTCCTCACCTGGGACAGCACCCAGGGACAGAAGCTGGCACGGAGGGGAGTCTGCCTGACCGCAGGGGGCCGTCTGCACAAACCAGGACCGAGGAAGCTGCATGGGACTCTAACACGGTTCCCCCTTGCGTTTGGGAGCGGAAGTTCTGTCCCAATCACACGTTCACCGCAGGGTTCAAGTGCAAAATCCACCCCGATCACCACCTGCTAGCTCCGCCATGTTTTCCATCCTTGCTCTGGGGCCTCGGTGAAGCCGAAGCCAGTAAGCCCTCCACAAGCCGGCCCCACTGATGGCATGCAACGTGCTCCTGCAGAGGTCTACTGACGGGGACGGATGTCCCCCCATGCGGCGTGCGCTTGTGACAACTGACGACGACCAGCAGGTGCGGGTTCATGGCCCGCTGAAGAGGCTGCAAGTAATAACGTGGCTTTGGGGCCCCTGTGTTTCCCAAAGGCAAAGCCCAAGGAGACTGCCCTTCATTACTGCATCGATTTCATGTATGTTCATGAGTGCTCAGTCCAGCTGGTCACCAGCGTGGCTCGCCCACTGCTCGGGTCCATGTGTGCGTGTCCTCTCGGCCCATCCCCGGGAGAGATGGCAGTAAACCGGAAGATGGCAGTGTTTCGAAATGACACCAATCAAAACTTGGAGGCTGCAGGGAGACCAGTGCAGTTGGAAATTACACCTGTGCATACCGGCTCCTCCCGGTTTGACGTTTTGGCTTTATCCTAGCGACCGTGCCATGGAGGACTTTCTGTGACAGCGGTCACGGAAGTAAGCGGACCCCAGACTCCTCGGTGCAGCCACTCTCATCGCTCAGAGTGGGGGTCCTCGGCATGTTTCCGAGCCAGCAGCATCTGAGAACTTAACGAAATTCTCAGGCCCCATCCCAGACCTACTGACTCCGAAGCCCTGCGGACAGCGCCCAGCAGTCCAGTGTCACTGGGTAGTTGGGACGCACACTGCAGCCAGAGTCGCTAGGGAAAGTTTTGTTGTAAAGGGAAAGCCAAGTATCAGGTCCCCACACTGAAGCCCTTGGGGCCAAAATAAGGTCCTAGATTCTAATTCAGACTTTAACATACATTTCAAAGTCACCTTCCCGCTTCCTTGGGTGTTTTTCCTCACTTTTATTAACACAGGAAAGAAAGGGACGTGTGCTTTGGGGGGCAAGTTAGGGGAGTGTCAGCATCTGTCCTAATTGAATCCAGCCCTTAGAGAAAAATCTCATGGCTCTGGAAATCTGTCCCTGGCAACCTAAGGGGCTTCGACAGGGGAAGAGTTGGCGGGCTCTCCCAGGCTGTTCTTCTGCTGGGTGATCCAGGGCTATTCTGCGCCTTCTGATTGTGTGATAGGGTGAGAAAAGTCAAAAAGTCTAATTCGTATTTCCATGACAACTTGTTCTGGCAACATGCTTCTCCCATATTTGAGTTACAGAGGGCACGACGGGGTCTGAGGACCGGGCTGCAGGGCAGCTCACGAGGGCAGGGTCCGGCGTCCCAGGAGGGAATAGACGGTGCTGGGAACTGAAGCCCCTGGGCCCAGCCTTCCCACACCACCCATACGGAACTACTCAGCCATAGCGACAGAATAAAATCCTTTAATAAAGGAACTTTGTATCTTTCCAAACTCACAGACTAGTTGAAAGGCTGCTCACAACTGGTTCTGGATTAAGTCTGTCACTGTTCCCTGTGAGGGAGCCGGTGGGTAGAGGACAAACGTGTGAGGACTGGCCTCCTGGGCTTGGGAGCCTGGCCCTAGAGGAAGGCGTGGACAGCCACTGCATCCACATCACCCACGGCCCCCAGGGGGCCGATGCTGGTCCTTGGGCATCGCCTGTGGATCTTCCGCTTTCCTGCCGCTTCTCTGAGACCGACACGTGGGGCAACCAGGCAGGAGCCCCGTGTCCCCGCCAGTCTCGGCTTCTGCTCTGCAGTGGCCTCCCACTTCCAAATGGCTTTTGTTTTTTTAACAGAACAATCTTTCGAAAGTGAATTCCAGCCCCTGCCAGGGGCCTCCCCGCCCCACTCCTGCTTGGGGCAGCACTGTTTATGTGGTAGGGTCTGTTTCTCCGGATGGCGGGCAGGAATTTTTGCAACTTTTCTTTCTTAATTTATTGGGCAGAAAACCCCAAACCACGCCATGTGTGTGTCTGCGTGTTTATTTTTTTTCCCATTCGACCCCCCCTCTTTCACTCTGCTCCTTTTATATCTAGTACAGAGGAATCAGCGAGAACCTGGAAAGCGAAGCGGTGTGCATAGCTGCGGCAACAATCGTGAAGGGGGCCAGACTGTCCCCTCGGGCATTCGTTCTAACTAACCAATTGGTTGAAAATTAAATCCCTGCCAGGGCCAGGCGAGGCACCCCCTGATCTGGGCCCTCTGACCCCCCCAGGCGTCTCCTCCTTGCAAGATCCGACTGTTCCGATGCCCTCTGCGTTTCAATAAAGTTACCTCCTGTGCTGTCCACTGGTCCTCTCCAGCTCCCTCTGGTTTCTGTCTGCGTTTATTTTGTGGCTCATTCCTCCATGGGAAGGTGAGGCTGCTTGTGGCCATTTGCCTAACTCAGAGCTAAAACCCATCTGCGGGGCCTGTCCAGTCCCATTGGGGGTTGGGGGGGGGGTCCTGCTTGCACACGGTGGACCTTGCATCCTTCAACAGAGCTCCAGACATCCAGCCCGGAAGTCGGGGTTCTCAGGTCCTCCCCTCACTGCCCCGTGTTCGAAAACGTTCCCTCGGGACTTTCTTAGTGTTTCTGGGGTGAAGGAGCACGTGTGATGGAGTGAGCTCCTCCTGGCCGCTGACAGGAGGGAAATAGGTCCTGCGTCCGTGCCGTGGGGCTGCAGGATCCAGGGAGCACTTTTCCCGAGAGATCGTGGCGACCCTTGCGCGGGAGGCGACGCGTGTTCAGAGCTCTGCCGAATACACCGAGGAAGAATGTTCCCTGGATGAGATGACTCGACTCCTGGTTGTCGTCAGCTCAGCACCCAGGTCAGACTAAGAAATACCCGTTTTTGCAGGCTCTAGAAGCTTCCACTCCACAGTATGCGCCTTCCATCCCTGCTGCCACTCCGGGGCCCCCGCCCCTCGTCTCCACGCGCCTGGACGACGCTCCGCGCGCTCCGGTACTCAGGAGCGTGCCCAGTCCCTGAGTCATCCCCGCCCCGGCCCTGGTATACCCACGGTCGACGACCCCTTTCCGCTAAGCGCCCAGCCGTGAGATCTATGGGGGAAAAGCTCTCAAGCATGCTCAGCTAACAGGATTCGTTCTCAAACAGGCACGCAGCCCTGCTCCGGAGGACGCGCCCCTCCCGCGCGGGCCGGCGCCGCTTTCCGGAGTCCAGGCCGGGCTCCCGGGAGCCGCGGCGCCACCCCGCCCGCCTCCCGTCCCGCTCCCGGGGTCCGGGGGCTGGCGGTGGAGAGGTGCGCTGGAGCCGAGGTTTCTGCGGGCGCGCTGGGGGCGTTTCTGACCCGGCCCCTCCCCCTAAAGCCCTGCACATCTGTCCCCATCTCACCTGTCTGCTAACGCAGAGGCTCACACCTGAAACATCCGGGACCCTAAAGTCCCACGTCACGCTTTGCCCCAGGAGAGTCCGCTAACGCGCCGTTCCCGCTGG